GACCGGAGAATGCAGCAATGCAGAACCCAACGTCAGATTGAAGCTTCAGGTGCCAACAAACCCAGAATGAGTATCACTGCCCATAACACTCATTACACTATACATTACTCATACAAAAGAGTATCTGGGAAAATAAAGTGGGAAAGATACTGAACCATGCTGCTTTCCCAGAGCCACAATAACCAAGAATTTCCTAAGCAGCCTATTAAGTACAATGATAATGTTTAACTTTTCCCAAGACAGGAAATGCTGCATCCCAATACCTCACAAACCACTGCCTAGTCACTACGGGGTTTTCACTTTTGGTATCTTCTGGGCTACAGAGTCCTTTAAGAATATAACAGTGAACACCAGAAAGGACAAGCTGTGTCACCCTAGCAGTGCACCAGAGTGGGACCTGTCCACCACCATACACCAGTAGGCACTTCTGTAACAATAACCGTGACTGCTTTGCCACCTTGATCTCAATCATCTCCTCAGACACAGAACCCAGTAAAACCCCAAGATCCTAACCAATCAACTAGACTGGGCACTGGGAAACAGCACATCAGGAACCTCAGAATTAAGATTTCCTCAGTATTAATAAACTATCATTTTCTAGGGACTAACTACATATCAAGCACCGTCCTTGGTGCTAATAATACAGTGAGGAATGACAGCTGAAGTACAATCATTTCCCGCCTGGTGGATCGTCTCTCTAGGTGGCCACCTGCTAAACAGGCATGCCAACTGGTGAACAGGTAATAAATGAGATCTGGGCTTTAACACACCGAGATACATGTGCATGTGTATACTGTTGTTGTTAAAAACTTGTTTTGCTTTCCTCTGTGATGGTAAGAAACGTGCTTTTCCATTCTTAAGGCCCACAGAATAAGTATGGGCATCACCCACTTCAGTAACCAGCAGATACCTTTGCTAATGAGGAGTCCACACTTGACTGGTCTGCCAGTCACACCCACACAGAGACCCAGGCAGAGACCTGCTCCAGCGGGCGCCGTCCTTTCCAGCAAGGACAACACATACAAAAGGTAGTGAATATCTTTTAATCTTTGCAAAATGAAAAGAAGAAACAACTAAGACACAGAAAGTTTTAAGCAACTTCTCTGGTGGAATTTAGAAAATAATCTCTCACAAACAATATGTGCTCTTCATTCGCTCAACCCCCTTTCCGTGTCTGCTAATTATCTTGTGCACCAAGCATGTTGATTTACAGCAGGAACGCACACGTAGACCACCTCTTCACAGAGGGAGTAGCCGGATTGTGAGGATTTTATAGTTCTTTTTAAAGTTGATCTTTGGTTTACAGACTCATGTTAAAGCAGCTACTCTGTAGATGGGCCCAGGTGAGCCTATAATGAGATTTATCTTCGTGGATTAGGCCTGAACTATAATAATCTGCTCAGGGCTCCCTGTTGCTGTTTCAACACTGAGTTATGAAAATTCATCCCTTCACTCTAAACAGAACCCAGCTCAGAGGGTAATAACTACGAGATGTATTACTCCTGGAATACAAGCACTCCTGAGACTCTGATTATAATGTCCGCAGCTGAAGGCACTATTTCACAATTGAGATTACTACTTTTCCAGATGAAAAAAAATTCTGAACCATGGAATAATGCCTTCAGCTACACGCACTGTAATCACACTCAGCAGTTCCTGTATCCCAAGAGCAATACAGGTTACCAACAGTTGGTCTGGTGAGCTAATTTAGGGACTAGAAGGGAGATGTTATGGAAAGAAGCTCAGATAGCCCTGATTTCACGTTTGCTTCATCTGCTGGCTTTGGTGTAAGAGTTTAACAAGTAAGATAACCACATCAACTTCATTAAAGCATAATTTTTTTTAAAGGTATAAATATTTTCCAGACAAACTTGCCAAGTTTTTTTTCCAAGACAATAATGACCACTAATCAAAGGGAAGTAATATACATTTTCCCAACTAGACAGCAGTGTAAATTTGTACAGCATTCCCAGAAACAATATGGAGAAATTCAACAGTGCTCCTATTTGTTGACTCAACAATCCCACTCCACAAAAGTACCTGAATAATTAGAGGTAAACAAGGACATATTAACAGTCTACTGATCACCATTATTTGAAATAGGAAAAGCTTAGAAATAAACTGAAAGGGAAAATAGTTGAATGAATTAGGATACACACATACATCGGAATATTATGCAGCCCTTAAATTGAGTCATAATGGGCTTTGGAGAAATGCTAATTCATAGATGTATTCCACAGCTTAACAATTTATCCAAGGGCATTCAAATTGTTCCTTCATCAATATTTAACAGATATTCTCTCAGAGTTAACTAATTGGACTTCGGATCAGGTTTTTATTTTTGAGTTATAAAGCTAATGAAGTATTGATATAATATTAAATGACTACAAATAAAGTCTATACCCTAAATAAATGCTGACATTATGTCTCCACATTCTGAATGAATTATAAAGGAAAAATACGCTTTTGCATACATTTAGTAAATTTTCCCTGACTCTTTGTAATGCATTTTTGCAAATGGAAAGGATGAATATTCATCAAGGCTCTTGGAATATATTACAGTTTAAATAGTTTGGTTTTAATATTTATAGTACACCATGAAATGTGATCTTTCCATTAGGAGAAATGGATCTGATGTCAAAAGACAGCCAGTGAAAAAATGTAAAATTATACCACTTAACCTAATATTTAAAAGTTGAAAAACAGTATTTGAAAGCACCTTGCCGCTTCAGAAAAAAGTTAAGTATTCTAGAATGATATCTTCCAGTTTGTTCAGCCAGTAAATTTTGAGTAAAGATGAGGAAAAAAGGAAAAAAAACTAGTACACTATCATGCAAGATAAGGACAAAAAGGTTAAAGCTGCTTTGCCACCTTTATCTCAATCGTCTCCTCAAATCAAATAATCTCAGGGAAAAGTGCTTGTTTTTCTTCCTTCTGATTAACCATCCCAGTGAAGCCTTCAAGAAACACTTTTCCTGCCAAGCCCAAGAACACTGCTGACGGCATTTTGTGCCAAGTACCACAGAGTTTGCTCATTTAATCCTCACAATAACAACCACTGGTCCCATTCCACAGATGAAGAAACTGAGGCTAATAAGTGGCAGAACCTTGAGTTGATCTCCGGCAGCCCACTCAGCTTTTTCCCTCCATTCTCACTTTTCAGGGAAACAGTTACAGCCTGTCTGATTCCTAAATATGGTTTCCATAGTCAACTTCTCTGTTCTTGGTTAAGCTACATAATATACCCCCCCCCCAAATTATCATAGATTAAAAATAAATTAGAGTTAGTTCTAGGGCACTGAAAATGTACGGAAAGGAAACATATGTTTACGTACTCACCAAGTTCACTGAGCACCTACTATATGCCAGGCACAGAGTTATTTCTGCCTTCATGAAACTCAGTGTAGTAAGAGATATGTAATAAAATAAGGAAATAGTGTGGTACACTGGATAGGACCAGAAGTGAGATGTGTGGCAAGCAGTATGGAGAACAGTCTGAAATGGGAGTCAAGGAAACCTCAGTGAGGAAGAGTGTCAAAGGGACCTTCACACAAACAAAATAGCCAAGGCATGTGATTCAAATTAAACAGAAAATTAGAGGAAAATAACTAGAAACTAATTTCCACAGTGCTTTTGCTGTCCTTATATTACTCCAAAGTATTTCCCATGATGGCCACAGAAACTATTTTTAAACTTCAGTTGTCAGGGGGCTCACTACCTTATTTTCCTACAAAGAAATAAGTTACCACTGGTCCTGCTTTCGCCTCCTGAAATTTCCATCACTCTTACCAGAAAGCAGCATCTGTATAAATCCCTCTGCTTTTGACAACTATGACTTCTTTGATAAACTACCCATGTGTGTGGGGAGGGACAGAAAGATGGAGGAAGCAAATGGGAAAACGGGTTTTCCCCTCTTCAGATTAATGTATATGAAGTATACATCTGACACTTCATCAGCACTCCCGGCTGGTGTCCCAGCAGGCAGACACCGGCTGAGCGTGTATTCTGCCAGCGACCAGGCTACTTAGGATGAATTGGCAACATGCCATTTATCTGGAATGCCCAAGGTGTCTGGGAGAGGGAATGCAACTACATTTAGCATTGCCAGGGAAAACTAGATACTTCAGGCTAGGAATTAATCTCCTCCTTGAGAAGGTAGTTAGCTTTACCTTCAAGTTTGCCTGTGGCATTTAAATCACCATAGGTCATGCATTTACTAAAATTCATATGTACCAAACCTCAGGGCCTTCATTTATATCTTACACATTAATACTTCTCAGGCTGAAGTTCTACACTTTCCTGAAATGTACGTTGTTGTGATTAAACAGGGACTTGTTACATCCAGTGCAATGCTGTCATTTGGACATAAACCCCTTTGATTCCTTATTTTTCGGATTCTTCCACACATGAACATGCACATCATTTCAACTTATTCAATGAATCAACAAAATATTGAAACCAATGTAACTATATGACCGCTTTAAAGCACACTATTGAAATTGCTCTGAAAGTGGATCCTGACCATCCCTTTACCATTTTGTCACCGTGTTTTCTGAGTGTCTGATGTGGAACTAAACAGGATTTGGACTATATGGACTTCAAGGCTAACTAGAATTGTAAGATGCACAGTGAACAGCAAAACCATAGAGGTTTCAGATGGATGGTCGTATTAAGCCGGCCATTACAGCATGCAGAATCACACCATCACTCTCACCTAACGGAATCTGTCACTCTTTCGTGAAGAATTATCCGTTCCTTTGACGTTATTTATCGAATGTCTCCTACATGCAAGGCATTGTGCTAAAAGCAGCGAGGAGTAGAAAGTCAAATCAGACAAGAGTTCTGCCTTCAAGGAGCTTCCAGTCTAGCAGGGAGACACTGGGCACAAACACCAAGAACAAAAACAGAGGTATACCATGATCACTGTGAGGGAGGCAGGGGAGGATGGGCACAGCTCTGAGCAGGGGCAGGAGGGGAGAGAGAGTGGCCGGAGGAGACAATCAGTCAGACTGAGCAATGTCCCACGCACAGTGCACATCCACAAACACCAACTTGTTTGGAAGAAAAGGAAAAGGAAAAAGGGTTCTAAAAGGTGTACGCACTCATCTCTTTAGCACCATTCTCTACCCAGTGCGTGGATTGTAAGTGGCAGAGGTAATGTAGACAGAATCCAATACAAATTTGATAGAAACAGAACACAGATTAACGTGTCCCTTTAGCTATGTAGTTTTACAACAGGGCACCAAAAACAGGAAAAGTCAGTAACATTCACTTGAGTTACAGACAGAACTAAATGATATGGCAGAGAAATCTGGACGCATCTCAGCAGAACGATAAGGAAATCAAGGTGGTGCTCCGCCCGGCAGCTCTGCCCTGCTGCTCTTAACACAACAGAAAGGTGGGGAACAAACAGCTTCCCACACTCCTGTTAGAAACTAATGAAACCTCTGAAAGGAAAGGCCATCACTAGATAGCCTGCACGATCTAGCAGTAAATGGCTAATCACATTCTGGCTTCTGTGCCCAAGTGTACCCACCATGGAACAGTCACAACAGAAGTATTAATATTGCCATTACTTCAGACTTGTTATATGCCAAGTGCTATTTTAAGTTTGCTGTACATAGTATTTCAGCATTTTCCCCAGTTTTGATGTTAAGCAAATACTATAAACATAAGAACTTACAGGTAGGTAAGCCATTGATTTAAGTAATTCCTTAATAAGAATGGCATCAGACAGATTATCGGAAGTGCCCCTCTCATATGTTCTATTAACAGTTCTCCTTACCATTCCCAAATATCTTAGGTCACATGACATGCATTTTTAGTCAATGAATAAATCAGTTTCTCCTTCTGGGTATGTGATTACCAGTATTAGGAAATAAGATATATTGCTTTGTGACGGTGTTGCTTTAATCTGAGTGATTTACTGGGCAATAAACACATAGGATTACTACTTAAATGTGAAGAATAACATTGTAGTGGCTAAAAAAAGCACTTCTGTCCAAAAAATCAAATTGTGAAGTATTCTCCTCTTTCCTTAAAAAGTAAATGATCACAATAAAACAAGCTTTTAATAACCTCCCCCCCCCCAACGAAGAAAGTCATTTTGGCCTCGGTGAAAGAATAGAGGAAAATATTCTCTACCATCTCTTTAACTATATCTTTAAGAAATAAGTCCCAAATTTTTCATGTGAGGAAAAAGGTGAATTTTTGTTTAAATACTCAATTTTGAAATCACAAAATATCCCAAAAGAAACTATACATTGAGAATCTTAATTATTCTGAAAGGAGAATCAGGGAATTCTAGAGTTGAAAGGGACTTCGTAGGCAACATGATACTTCTTTCCATCATGAAGGTGCAGATGAGGTGATGGAATTTGGGAAACTAAACGACTTGCCCAAGTTTATTTGATGGCAAAAGCAGAGTTAGAGGTTAAACCTAAATCAAACCGCTTTGCATTACTGTATGATTCCCAAATATCCAACATAATTCATTACCAATGCAAAGAACTGTAAGATACCATATATTATTTGCATCTTCATCAATAAAAGATATTTAAAACCTATTTCCATACACTATGACCCTACCACCAATGCTAAAGCAACACATACAGATGTTACCAGCTGATCCAAAAATTAAATCAAAGAAAGGACAAAATAGCAAAAAAATAAAAAACAACTTCCAGTAATAAGCACTGTGTTAATACTAAAAATTTATACTGGAGAAAGAATATTAAAAGGAATGTGCAAGGCCACGCTGCTAACACACACACAAATATTTATGCTGCATGCCAAGTGGTAAATGTGGAGAGGGCTAAAGTTGGAAAACTTACCATTTTCATTTTCAATCATCATAGAAAAGAATCTGGGGGAAAATTTTGATGGAAAGCATATGTGTATGGCCTGAAAGTATCACCCCTCAGTTGGCTTATGAATTGCAAGAGAGAAAGTCATAACTGTGGTGGCAATATCAGGCAACGCCTGGACTAGATGATTAAAGTTAACGTCACAGTCAAGCCTGCACATCTTATGGCCTGAGAGGACACGACACCGCCAGGGCTGTGTTCTGGCCTGGTATGCAAAACCTGACCTGCACCCCAGGGAAAGAGCAGACAAACATGAAAAATATTCCCTTGAAAAATAACCCAGCAAAAAAAATTCTTCCTAAACTTTGATGTCGTAAAAGACAAAGAAAGGCTGTGAAAAGATTCCAGATTGGAGGGGACTAATGGAATGGGCAATTAAATGCAATACATGACCCTAGGCTGGATCCTACAATGGAGCAAGAGAAATGCTATAAAGATCATTAATGAGTCCATTGATAAAACTGAAATACAGAGGGCAGAGCAGAGGATAGGACTACAAGTCATAAATTTACTCAAGTAGATAAATGTCATGACAAATGGCTATGATATATACGTTACCCTCAAATAGTTCATAAACGTGTGTGGATATGTTATACACATACATATATATATACATACACACACACAGAAAATAAATTGGGCAAGATATTAATTATTGAAATCTAGATAACGAATACACGGGTGTTTTATTTTTAATTTTTATTTAATTTTTATTTTTTTGGTTAGAGAAACAGAATCTGACTCTGTCACCCAGGCTGGAGTGCAGTGGACCATTCGTAGCTCATTGTAACCTCGACCTCCTGGGCTCAAGCAATCTCCTGTCTCAGCCTCTCAAGTAGCTGAGACCACAGAATCACCCTATTATGCCCACCTAATTTTTAAACTTTTTATAAAGACAGGAATCTTGCTATGTTCCTCAGGCTGGTCTGGAACTCTGGCCGCAAGTGATACCCCTGCCTTCCACCCTGCTAGGATTACGGGCATGAGCCCTAAAAACATTTTCACTTCTCTTGGGTGAAGGATGGAGACGTGGCAAAATTAAGAGAAATGCTCCAAATTTGGGGTGGAGAGGTGGAAATTAATCACACTGAAAGCATGAAATTTCACATCGCCAAATCTGTGCTTAACGTCACATATGTGAATTTAAATCTAATTAAACTCAATAAACTGAAGCAGTTCCTAGAGAGGTAGGGAGGCAGTAAGATACTGCAATCCCCACCTGCGCTATGTGCCAGAGGACACTCACCAGGGTGGCCGTGAGCGAGGGCGCTGACTGGCCCAGGGCCTGGCTGCGCATGCGCACGAGGTTGGACGTCTCCGCCGAGGCTGGCCAGGCCTGTCCCGCCACTGGGTTTGGAAGGAGGTACCTCCCTGTTGGGATTAAAGAGAATACAATGTTAAGTGGCAGGCCCTAGTGCCACAGCAAGGGGAATTGCCAACCTTCCTGTTATCCTTCTTCAGTTTTATTCCTGCCGTTCTTAGAGATAACATTTATTAATGGCAACCAGAGAGAAAGTGTTCCTATTAAGTCAGGAGATCCAGTGGGCAGTTCTGGCCCGGTCTTCCCACATACACCCAACTTGACCTACTCATCCCCTACAGTTATGTGGCTTCATCAGGGTAGGGTGAAGTGCATATTTTACATATATGTGTGTGTGTTGTATACATTAAAGCATTCTTAGCATCACAGAAATAAACATGTGCATTTTAAACATTCTTTGAAAAAAAATCTTAACTTGCAAAGTGAGCTAGGAATCAATTAGAAAATCATCTACAAAGTGGAGACTATGACCAAGGAAAAGGAAGTGAAGTTCTTTCAAGGTGAAATGGGGCTGGAGCCTCTTCTCACCTTCACCCTTGCCTCTCTCCCTCAAGTGCAGGTGGCCATCCAACCGTGTCTGCAGGATACATAATCGGATCTATTTGCATAAATCAGGACATCAATGTCAATCTAGGTTCACTGAGCAATTTCCATCAACCTTGAACTCTAATATATACATTTATGCTTTTAAAAGTCAAACAGCTGAACCAATTCACTCTGTTACTTCCTTCATACATGGACTCAACTAGTATCAACACACAAGAAATGAGGCTTTTTGACTTCAGGAAAGTACACATGGATGTGAATAGTCATATAGTAATGAAGGACCCTAAAAGCAGAGACCATATTTGATTTTTATCTGCTTGTCTTTTATGCTAGCACAATGCCTGGTCATCAAATATTTATTAAATGGTAAAAGGACAAGTGGACATTTTCTTCCCAGAAAACACACAGAGACAATGAAAAGACAGCAAGGAACTCATAGAATCATTTGAGGGCCATGCGTGGAGACTTCAGCTTATTCCTTTCCAGAATTAAAAGACATTACATGCAGAGGAGTCCAAACTGGCCCATGAACCACATGAAAATTACACGAGCATGTTTTTGCTTATCTGTGGTGGCAGATGTTATAAAAATTATGCACAGATTTCCCCCCCACACACACCTACTCATCAGCTAGTGTTTGTGTATTTAATGTATGGCCCAAGACAACTCTTTTCCCAATGTGGTGCAGAGAAGCCAAAAGGTTGCACACTCCTGTGAACGTGTGTAGCTGGTAGCCCTGAAACAAAGTCAAAATCTGTTCCTTGTTCTACCCTTAGGAGTGCACTTCACAAGCACATCATACTAGTTAGTAACTGCTGCAGTATACTAACTAGTTTACCATTCCCATACATGCTAACTACCAGCACTACCAAACACAGGGGCTAGGGGCATTTCCTCTCAGTTGTCCATGTTAAGAGGTCCACTGCTTTATTTAATCCAAGTGCTTTCAGAAAATTATATTTTAGTTGCTGAGGAAAAAAATGGCTTCTTATTCGACCAAGAGTGCTCTTTCACTCTCTTATTATGTAGTGAAAGCATAGACTCTGGAAAAAAACTAGATCAGCTTTTGAGATCTTGTAGCTGAAGACACTGGGGAAGTAAATTAGTCACCTCTCTCGGCCTTGGTTTTTCCATGTCTGAAACAGGAATGGATAGAATAGACTATGTACAGTTATCGAGGGGATTAGAAGATCTTATAAATACTCAATAAATGTTAGCTGTTTAGCCACAATAGCAGTAAAATTGAAAAGTTTCCTTTTTACTTGGGATGAGTTTCTTTTCATTTGTAAGAAGAAAATATAAATATATACCAAGGAACAAAAATCACCTATGATAAACCAGAGAAAAACCACTATCAATACTTTAAGTGATTTTCTTCCAGAGTTTCTTTCTATATATTTTCTTGCAAAAATAGGATTACAGTGATTTTTGTCACCTGCTCCCTGCCCATCCCACATAATAGATTATGATCTTTTCTAAGTAGTTAAATATAACAAATGTTATTTAAAACAAACACTAGCACTGAAAATAAAATATATTCAGCTTTTGTGGTTCTAATTATCATTTCAAAAAAATCAAACATATTTTTGTACAAGGAATGTTACATTTAAAGTCTAAAATCTTTTTTTTTCCTTGCCTTATTCTGAAATATAAACTAAAAGGTAAACTAAGAAGGGCTTGTAAAACATACCTCCCCTGAGGCCCCAAAGCAGGAGATTAATGAAGAAGGTCCGGAAAAGTGTAGACTACATTTAGGAACGCACTATTAGTATTACATGAATAAATAATTTAACTCAGTCTTTGAAGGATATTAAAAATATACCAATCTAAAAAAAAATTAAATATAATATACCAACCTTCATTAATATGGATCCACAGGGGTTCCCCCCCATGTCTTTTTCTATATTTTAAGTTTTATATTTTCTTTGTGTTTGGAAAAGAGATATGATAGAAGGTATAAAAGATACATGATATCAAGGTCTATCTGACGAACAGAATCTATTCTGGCCTCACTGCTGTTCTACCCTACATGCTTCATTTTAAAGAAAACTTAAGGATAGATATGAAAATTTAATAATGGAAAAATTTAAAGGCCAAGTATTAAATATTTTTGTTCACTTAAGAATTCTAAGTAAAAAAGTCTTTTTTTTTTCCTTTAATAGAAAACAATTATTAGACTGTTTCCCTGTAACTCCAGGATGTGAGGACACAGGTTTGTTTACTTCGGTATTCCTAAGACTGACACTTGATAAAGGTTCAATGTTTGTTGACTAAAATGCATGCAGTTAAGCTATACTATGTGAACATTACTTGATCAAATCCAAACAAAAAGAATACTACTGAACAGATCATTTTCTTAAATTTCATTTATAAGTATAGCATAGTAGCTAAAATACATTAAGGCCCTATTATATGCCAGACACTACAGCATCCTAATTACACCATGAGGTAGATATTACCACCTTTGTTTTAACTCTATTATTTTCTGTTGGGTGGGTTGTTTTATTTTATTTTTTGCAACAGAGTCTCACTTTGTCACCCTCAGTAGAGTGCTATGGCATCATAGTTCACAGCAACCTCAAACTCTTAGGCTCAGAACTTCTTCTTCCCTCAACCTCCTCAGTAGTTAGGATTACAGATGCCCACCACAACACTCAGCTATTTTTGTTTTATTTTTTGAGACAGGGTCTAGCTCTTGCTCAGGCTGATCTTAAACTCCAGAGTGCAAGCAACCCACCTTCCTTGGCCTCCCAGAGTGCTAGGATTACAGGCATGAGCCCCCATGCCTGGTCCCATCTTCCTTTTAAATCCAGAGAGGTTACATAATAGGCAAACACACATAGTTAAATAAGTGGGCAAAACAGGATACTGACTCCAAAGCCCAATCTACCAGAAGAAAATATTCATCACATATGCTCAGGCTAAAAAAAAGTGATAAGGCTCGGGGCCTGTGGCTCAAGTGGCTAAGGCGCCAGCCACATACACCTAAGGTGGCGGGTTCGAATCCCCAGCCCGGGCCTGACAAACAACAATGATGGCTGCAACCAAAAAATGGCCAGGCGTTGTGGCGGGCGCCTGTAGTCCCAGCTACTTGGGAGGCTGAGGCAGGAGACTCGCTTGAGCCCAGGAGTTGGAGGTTGCTGTGAGCATGATGCCATGGCACTCTACCCAGGGAGATAGCTTGAGGCTCCGTCTCAAAAAAAAAAAAAAAAGTGATAAATTAATATAGGATGATTCTATGTTTAGAAGAATACATATTATATAGAGAAACAGAAAATCGGGCAGCACCTGTGGCTCAGTGAGTAGGGCGCTGGCCCCATATACCGAGGGTGGCAGGTTGGAACCTGGCCTCGGCCAAACTGCAACAAAAAATAGCCGGGCGTCTGTAGTCCCAGCTACTCAGGAGGCTGAGGCAAGAGAACTGTCTAAGCCCAAAAGCTGGAGATTGCTGTGAGCTGTGATGCCACAGCACCCTACTGAGAGCAACAAAGTGAGACTCTGTCTCTAAAAAAAAAAAGAGAGAGAGAGAAATAGAAAATCATCTGGAAAAATGGGAACAGAGTGATTCAAACCCCAGGCTTAGAATCAGACAAACTTGTACCTGTAACCCACTTCTTACTAGTCTGACCTCAAATTTCCATCTCTAAAATGGGGATAATACCTTACAAGATAGCAGATAAGGTGAAAGGAGATAATACAGTTACATCTCTCAGTCTAGGACATGGAAAGCAGTCAACACACGTCACTATTCACTTCCTCTGAGACCTGAATCTTCCACCACTGCCATAGTGACAGGATAAAACATGGTAACTGGGTTCTTACGCTGGGCCACAAGAAATAAAGAAAAATACTAAATACTATTAAAATAATTGCTATTTCTTAGAAGTGATAAACAACAAATCCAGAGTTGTAGTAATGTCTGGCAGAACAAATGGGGGGTAGGTACAGGGAGAAAGACGCTACATTTGTTCAGAATTTGTTATTCTAAAGATTACCTGCAGGGAATAGTGGATCTGCTAGTTCAACTTAAAAGTTTAAATGAAGAATTCAGTTTTTGACCTGTAGCTTTAATAAATTTAACACTAAATGTTTAAATGTATCTGAAGAATGCAGCAAATATTAACCTTTGATAAAGTTTGCTGGTAGGAACATGGGGTTGAACTGAATAACTCTCTATTTTTTTATAAATGACATTTTATAATATGCTTTTAATGATTCCTACAGCAAAAAAATGTGTTCTGTATTCTAACATGGCAAACTAGCCAGGAACACGTTCCTTCCATGCCTCAAAATGGCAGCTTCTAAGGCCCAGGTCAGGCATCCTCTGGGATGCGGGGAATGCTGGGGACACACCAAAGGTCCTGGGTGGGGACTCAAGGAGCTGGGGGGATGGCGGCGAAGAGGAACCAGGAGGAACTTCGTCATCGTGCCAGCATTGAAGCCACAGCAGCCATGATTAGGAAAAGCTCTTTCTCTTCCAGAGGGAGGATGGAATGAAAGCAGT